AGGAGGATAAATTAGTGTGGCTTATTATAAACCATACTAATTTGCATTTTAGTAACATACTAACATACCATTTTAGTAAACTAACATACCAAGAGGATGCAATTATGGTTGAGTTTTTGTATTTCTCCAAGTTTTGCAATGCACTTATTCAATGAAAAATGTACACACAAAATTGTACAGTAGGAAAAACTGTGAACAAAAATGGTACATATTAAGTGAAATTGCTTAGAAAATGCATTATGTTAGAGAAATGCATATGCATATTGTATGTATGAAAAGCATATAAATAAGTATAAGCATTTCCATGAGCAATTTGAAAAAAGCATGAACTGCTGCAAACACAAGACAAAATAAACTTGTTCTTAAAATAATGTGAATATTATAGAAAGCAAAGCAGACAGATTGTGGACCTCAGGGGAAGAACAATTCTACTGCTGAATTGCAGTGCTTCAAGACCAAAGTTCTCAACCTATATGCTACCTTGGTAGAAGTAAAAGTGCTATGTTCTTTCTCTGGATTTTCCCCACCTCCTTGCATAGGCAAGAAAATTCTTTACACCAGCTCCAGAAACACTTTTTTTCTATGAGTGACAGGAAAACAGGCAAAATGACGTACTTCTTTTTCCTTTTCCTTCCTGTGGCCATTTCTACAGCCACTAGCTGATTTTTATTTCCTGGCTACCTCCACCAAACCACCCCTAGAACTCTCCTGGTCTAGGACTGAATCTAATTTAGGTAGTGTGGGGGCTGGCAATTACATATGGGGTGGATAACCCAATAAGAAAAGGGGGTACAATATTAAAAAGCTTCCTGATGGAACATGTCCTCTGGGTGGTTCATAGAATACACTAAAATATATTTTTATAATGTATAAAAGATACATTATATACAAATGCTAAAACATCATTAGAAGTTTATAATACAAAATTTAAAATCACACATTTAACAGGTTAAAATGATTTTAAATTATTATGCATATAACAGTATGCATATAGAGGAATACTGAACAGTTTCCTCCTGAGGTGAAATTACAGCATTTCTTCTTTACAGATAATGTTTCCCTTATCATCCACAAAAGACTGGAAGATTTTTTCTTTCCCCATTAGTTTTTCTTCCTAACTCTAGCCAGTTAGGATGGTAGTTTCTTGCTCAGATTTGCCTTAAATTCCATTTCAGAGCACTTCCACTGACCTTCTGTGGAACTTCCTGCAACCTTCTGTTTTCTTCTTCACCTGCAGACATCCTATGCCTAACTAAACTTTAGACTTTTGGTCTGAAACTCTCAAGAAAAGAACAGTTTTAATCCTACAGAATATAAAACCAAATATAATACAAAAAAGAAAGACAGTTTTATTATTTCACATATCATATAGTATTTTATCCAGAAGACTGTCCATGTCACAAACTTTTAGATGAAGCAGGTTCAGAAAATGGGCAGGCCAAGATTCACTGAGACTCCATGACTTCTATATTTCCATTGCTGATCAGCTATTGAAATGCAATTTTGGAATATGAAATATAAAAAGAAGAATTGCATGATTGATCAAAGTTTCAGCTGATTTTTGAATATGCTTCTGTGTTATGCAGTGCTTTTAAGTCATGGTTCTGACTTGCACTCCAGAGATGAAAGAAACCTCACTGAATTTTTGGTGACTTTCATTAATTATATTGATAGAATCATTACATTTTACACAGATTCCATTGCGTTTATCCCTTTGATTGCTATACCTAGGTCTACATTTGGAGAGACATAAACAAGTTGCTCTGTGCTTAAGATATAAATGTGCAGTGGAGAAGCAAAGTGAGTAAATGGAAGTTAAAATGTATATAAGGGGGGGGGGCAGAAAATCATTTCCAAGATATTACTATATAATCTGCTACCATTAGTATTTATTTATTTATTTAAAACATTTCTATGCCGCCCCCATCGCAACAAAGCCTCGGGGTGGCTCACAACAAAAACAAAAACAAACAAAATCATACAAAAATTTATACACTAAAAATATTAAAACCTGGTGCATCTCGGCTTAAATTTTTTTAAAAAAATCCTCCATAATAAACACTTAAAATAAGTTTTAAATAAAAAGGCCTTAGCCTGGCGCCGAAAAACAAATAACGACAGCGCCAGGCGGACCTCTCTGGGGAGCGCGTTCCATAGGTGGGGCGCCACCGCAGTAGTGCCTAATCTTCACTGCCAGCTTTGACAACATGTCAGTTTCATCTGTGAGCATGATAAAAATACTGTTCCATGTCCTTATAGGCCATAGGATGCTGAACCAATAAGATGTTGCAAAGTGGCTCAGAATGCAGTTTTCAGATTTTTGGATGTCTGTAGATTGACAACATCTCAGATTTATTTTGGCTGCTGTGCTTCCCTGGACCACATGGGTCATGCAATTTCCTGGCATGTTTGTCAGTCTTACCTATCCTGTCTGGTGTTGCATATATCATCAGTCCCTAGTTTTATTAGCTGCATATTGTTTGTGATCTGAGAGATACATTCACACATTGTTTGCCTACATTTCACAATGTTGATTCTAAAGGCACATGCTTGAGAAAGACAGGGGAGTTCACAGATAAGCAGCCGAGTGATATCCATATTTATTCAGCAGTAACTGATTGAACTGCAGACAAACTGGAGGCAAGAGTTCCAGTACGGGGATGCCTACTTTTTTCCCCCTTTCTTGTTTAATTAATAGTACCAGACAGCTATTTTGAAGGTTAGAGATGCAAACCCAAGGGTGAATCTTTGGGCTTCTGGATATTGCTAGTTTACAATTCCATTTGCCCCAGTGTTGGGGATTGATAGGAAGACTAATTCATCCACATCTGGAGAACCACATGTTTCTCAGCCCTGGGTTAACCCCTCTGCCCTGAATTGCTTCCCATCTAAGCTACTTTCCTTATGTATCCATATGGTATGCATCTGTACCTAGCCATAGCTTGGAGGATGAGACTACAGCAGGGGTAGGCAAGACTTTGGGGCCCATGGAGAGATTTGGCCACTTGGAGCCCAGGACAGGTTTTCACCACAAAATGACAGTCATGTCAGTCGTGGCAAATGACAAGCAAGCTGCCTGAAGACTGAGTCCAAGGCAGGGGTGGGATCTGAACCTCTGTACACTAAATACCTGTGTTGGACTAATAGTTTTCTTTACCAGCAGCAATCTATTTCACTGCAAATCCAGGGGCTGGTAAGGAAATGTGATGATTCAACCTCATAGTTCAGAGAGTTTTGGGTAAATTATAATCCATGGACATACTTCTCTTGTCCAAACTACTCCTTCCTCTCTGCCTAAATCCATGTTTGTTTTTTTAAGCCCTGATCCTGGCAGCTGAAGGATCTATCACTGGCTGTGGGTGGGGGAAGGGGGGAGTAAAATGGCTTGTGATCATGGCAGGGAGAGAAGATTAGATGGCCCCAGTCACTAGTTTTCTTGGGATACTGGTTGGAGAACCTGGGGGAAGGAAGGACTGAAAAATCCACAGTGAGCCCATCATCTGTCAGGGGAATTTTGGGTTGTTCATGCAACAACCAATCCATCTTGGATTACTGCTGGAGTGGGGTGGTTCCAGACATGAAATCCTCCTAAAAGAACCACCTACCTTGGGAAGTGGTAGCTGTCTTTCACTGGAGATATTCACGTAGAGGCTGGACAGCCATCTGTCCGTTGTGCTTTAAATTGGATTACACAAATGGCCTTGATGGCCTCAATGTGCCCTTCTAAGACTGTGATTCTCTGAAAATAAAAGTGGGAGAGGAAGCACACCTTGGCAATCACCAAGAAAGGCACCTGAGGATCTATTGGTGCCTGCAAACTCAACTTTCTGACCCTGGGCTGCAGCCAGCAAAATAGCTCTATCTCATTGCACTTCCTTCATCTTCAGATCTGTTAACAGAAATGGAGGATAGCTAATTAGTAAAAAGTATATGAGATCCACCCTGATAGTAGAACTAGTTTGAGCGTGTCAAAGAAATGGCAGTGGGGTTTCCCACACTAGAGGCATCCAAGACGCAACTGGATGGCCATCTAAGAGGAGGGGGTGGGACCTGATAGCCTTCTTTGACACTTCCAACTCTAATACTCTATGATTCTACGAAGTGTACACAGATTTACAATAGCATATAAGGTCTTCTCATGTAATTCCAACTCACCAACTTATTGTAAAAAAATGTACTTTCTGTTTCCAAAGCTGTATATGACATAGCTCTTTGACTTCATTGAGACCCATATAGACACTGAGATCAGGAACTTTGTTACAGTAATTAAATAAAGAGCTGGCCAATACACAGAGCCTCCTAAGAAATCCATGCATTCCATAGAAGAATACAAGCTATCTTTTAAGTCATTTATTCTAAAGTCATAGAATCATAGAATGGTAGAGTTGGAAGAGGCAAGGAAGGCCATTGGGTTCAACTCCCTGCTGTTGCAGGACATCACTTTACACCATCCCACTCAGATGGCCTGTCCAGTTTCTTTTTGAATATCTCTACTGTGGGAGAGCCCAGATCCTCTCTAGGCAGCTGATTCCACTGTCATATTGCTCTGATAGTGAGGAAAAATTTCCTAATATCTAGCCTGAATCTGGTTTGTCACAACTTGAGTTGATTGTTCCGTTTCCTACACTCTGGTGTCGGTGAGAAGAGATCTTGGCCTTCCTCTATGAGGTACTTATAGAGGAATATCATATACCCACTCAGTCCTTGTCTCAAGGATGAACATGCCCAAGTCTCTCAGTCTCTCCTCATAGGGCAGTTATTCCAAACCCTGCATCATTTTTGTTGTCCTCCTTTAGACCCTTTCTAATTTTTCTGCATTTTTCTTGACTCTTGGTGTCCAGAACTCAACACAGTATTCCAGATGAGTTCTGACTAGTGAGGAGTATAGGGGAACTACGTCTTCTTATGATTGGAAGTAATTAGTAATGCATCCCAAATACCATTTGCCCTTTTGGCGGCTGCATCACATTGTTGGCTCATTTTTAGCCTGTTGCCCACAATAATTCCAAGATCTTTTTCTTTTTCTGTTGAGGCATATATTCACCATCTTGTATCAATAGATTTGGCTTCTTTTTCCTAGGTGGAAAGAGAAAATTCAATTCATTCAATCCTTGCCCCTATTGAATCTCATTCTGTTGCTTTCAAGTCCAGCTTTCAAATTTATCAAGATCATTCAGGATCTTCATTCTGTCTTCTAGAGTGATTGCTGTTCCACCTGGTTTTGTATCATCTGCAAATATGATTGTTTCCTTGTACTTCCTTGTCTAAATAATTAAAAAAAGATTATGAAGCGCACTGGACCTAGGACTGAAGCCTGTGGCACCCCACTAGGTACCTCTCTCCAGTTTGAGAAGGTGCCATTGATGAGCACTCTGTGTCCAATTTAGCAGCCAATTTGGGATCCATCTAATACTTTTTCTATCTAGTCCACTTTTTGCTTATTTGATTATCAGGATGTTGAGGGGCACTATGTCGAAAGCTTTACTAAACTCAAGGTAGATTATGTCCAGTGTGTTCCCTCTGTCCATGATTTCATTGCTATGATAACAAAAGCCCCAGGTTGCATGTCACTGTGGGGAGGGGGGCAAATCCATGTTTACTCTACATATCTTGCTTAATAATACAGTTGATGAAGATTCATGGTATGCTCTACCTCTACAGCACAGCTTGTGCATGTGTGGCTGTGAATGTGACAGACAGGTTCTGAGTGCACCCATGATCTTTAAGTAAGGGCACAATTCTAGGCATGTTCAGACAGAAACAAGTCTTCCAACTCCCTATGCCTGTCAGCCAGAATGCAAAGGTGTGTGCCCTAAATGTCATATGAGAAATATGGAGAAAGGCAAGGATCAGCAAAAACACCCTATGTTTCTTGCAAAATATCATTTAATGGTTCCATTTAGTCAGACTAGGTTCTGTATTGCAGAACATATATTTCCAAACATCACATAGCAGGCCTGTGTTGTTGCCTCCCAACATTTTTAAATGAAAAGAAGGTATGAAAGGCTATAAAGCTGAGCAAAGGAACTACAGGTGGAGGGGGATGCTTATTCTTCTTGCCCAGTTATTTTCTTGACCTAAATACCAGATGGTAGCTGCTAATGGAGCAGCTTCTGTCAATGGAAGACTGGGAGACCCTCAGGAGCAGGGGTGCTGGAGAGGCAAGGAGTGAAGAGGCCTATTGCATGAGTGGAAATTTGTTTGCAAGCTTTTGGATTCTACCCATCCTCCTCTGCTGTTATTTCAGTTGTGAGGAAAATTTTTCCCCATGGATAAAAAACAGCTGATCAAGGTTAAGCATAAAAATAGCCAGGGGAGGAAAACACACACATGTATACACATCTGTTGAGTGACTGTTAACATTTTTTATTATTTTATATTATTTTAAAATGTCATCATTTTTCCTCTTGCAAGGAACTCAGACCAGTTTATGTGCTTCTCCTACTCTCCATGTTAGAGTACCTTGTAAAATTTGTTACTGTGTAATATCTACCCTTGGCCTTTATCACTGAAATAATTACAGAACTGCAAGTTTCTGAGCATCTCATTACTGGAATTTTGTTTCCAGTAAACTGCATTTGATAGGCCAAAAGGACAAAGGATGGGGCAAGTTCATGTAATTACTACAGGCCACTGTGACTGGGCTGTTGCATGTGCTGGTGCATTTTTGGCAAGGAGCGGCATAGAAATGTTTTAATAAATAAATAATAAATAAATAAATGTTCAATATTGAATTCCCAGTGAGGAGCTGCCATGCTTAGTTATCCAAACCAGGAAGTAAGGGATTGTTTGATGATTAAATAGGCCATGGTGGGCTGTGGTGATCATATGAACTAGGTCAGTTAAGTAGGGCATATGGGATTAAATCCATGCTAGCCGAGTTAATTTTATTTTCCATTGAAATCAGTGGTACTTTTTAAGTCAAGATTAACTTGCACAATTTGTTTCAATGGCACCTAAGTTCAACTACTGTAGTTTGGATCCAGCTCATGAACTGCAATTCTAACTATGGATAATTTTCAGTGAGATCCATTGGCACCAGCAGAACTTCATTTGCGATAAGGTGTTTAGAAATCTGATGTCAGCCATTCTTACTGCCCTATTAAACTGCCCTACAGTTTAACATAGTTACTAACTTTGAAATAATGCCTACACATAACCCAAATTTATATACAATTTCTTCCCTTTGATTCTTAGCTTTGTTTTATTAGATTTAATTATTTGCTGTGATCTTTCTCTGAAGAACCACCTATTTGTCTGACTTGCTAAAAGGTATGGCCTGAGAATGAAAGTTTATCCGTACAATACACATGTAATTAAATGTATAATAAACTCCATTATGAGATCTTAAAACATTTCTAAATCTGTCTTTCAGCTGTTTTGCATTTATATTACAAAAGAGCAGGAGAATACACAATAGGGAACTAGCTAGCTTAAATTTAGAATAGTTATTTACTTTGGACTCTCCATGTTAAATCAAAAATCTTTTCTGCCAATACAATGCAGAGAATTTATATCCTCAGCTTTTCTTGCTACAGCTGAGAAGAACACATGACTGGAAAACAGAAGCCTGGAACCATATATTCCATCTACATATTCATACTGAATACGTTTGTGGTCCAATGTATTTTAAAACCATAGAATCACAGAATAGTAGAGTTGGAAGGGGCCAGAGGACAGGTTAAATCACCCCCCTCAGATGGCTATCCGGTAGTTTGCCCCTGGTTTTACCTCTTACTGATGACAGCTATCTCCAAAGCCTTGTCCTGTGCTTATCATTCAACTTCTCTCCTGTCTGTATTCTATTATATAGTACTAGAATATACAGTTCTTGGCTCAACTGCTGGATAGCTCTGAATTCCATACACAAGCTATTTGGGAAGAATCTTTTAATGGTGTTTAAATTAAACTCATTGTTTCCTAATGATGAGAACAAATCTAAGTAGATAGTCATCCTAGAAATGTTCCTGATTCTGACCACCCAAGTGCAGTTTATATGTTGGTAACAAACAAGTACTTAAATACAAGGCCCTTATCATCCAACAGGAAAAAATGCTACAACATAAAATAAAACAAGTTAAAAATTCAACTAAGAATAGTAGTGAAAATTGGATGCCACATTAAACTTAACAGGCTGATAATGATTAGTAAACTAAAATGCTTTGAACAAGCTAAAATAGATTGTAAAGATCTGAAGAAAATACAGTCCTGGCATTGAAATGAGAACAGAGTGGGTACCTTGCAAGCTTCTCTGGGAAAGTACTCCATACCTGGCACTGATACTGAAAATCCCCTTTCACCAGCAGTCATCAACCACACCTCAGCTGGGACAGGGGCACTTGGAGAATGACTTCTGAGAAAAGATTGCATGCTCTGAACAGGTGGATATGGAAAGAGACTATCCTTAACATAGTCTGGTTTCAAGTTTTGATGTGTCTTAAAAGTCCCGCTCAGCACTTTGAACTGAGCCTTGAAATGGACTAGAAGCCACTGATGAAGAAGCGCTGCCAGAATGCTTTCATATCATATAGTCCCTGCTAACAGCCTCGTAGCCATGCCAGGGACTAACAGTCACTCACTGAAATTTCTAGACTGCCCTCAGAGGTAGCAGCCCATATAAGCCAGTGAGGTATTTCGAACAAGTAACTCCAGCAAGGTTGATTGAAGCAAGGCAATCTCAATCCAGCAGGCAGGGTCACAGTGGCATATTCACTGAAGCAGAAAGAAACCACATTTCCCAAGCCACATGAGCTATTTGTATCTCTAGTTACACAACATGGATCAATGGACACCTGTCATGTAGGATTCATGCCCTTTGGAAGGAAAGCAACCACCTCAGGATAGGTTGAACATGACTCACAAAAGGGCAGATGAACCACCCACAAGCAGCATTGCGATCGTTTCCATATTGAACTTTAGTTCAACTTTACTGCTTGCTTTTGTTTGGTTTTTGTATGACTGCAGACCTCCCCAAGGGCATTTGTCTATTGGACAGTGTACAAATCTAATCAATAAATTTCCCCTTATGCAGTCAATTACTCTGTCCAGAACTTGATTTAGCACCTTTGCTGAATTTGATGAAATTGTGAGCTGGGAGACAGAAAGATGCAGGGTTTGGTGTACAGCACAGATGCCAACTGGGAAGCTGAACAGACTCTGTTCAAGAGAAGAGGGTTCTCGGGTACAGTCACAAAAACATCCTGAGTCATCTTTGCATGTCACAAAGCAAACAGAGCTTCGACACAAAAAACTTCAGCCCTAAAATCCCCCAGAGCTCTCAGGAATCTCCTAGAATATGGAGGCAGACCATTCTAATAAGCTCCCAACCTCTGAAAAGAGGTAAGATCACCATGATCCCTAATTTCTCAACACGCATTTATCCTAACATCTCAAAGAAGCTGACACAAGATCCCTGCTATCTTACTGCTATCCAACTGAGGAATCACAGAGAATCTGACTTCCTTTGTTTGTTGGCCAAATAACATGTTGAGACAAGCTGATGAGACAGGCCACTCAGAGGTAGCACGATTTGACGGTTAGAGTGTTGCCTTGAGGAGCTGGGCGTTCTGGCTTCTAGTCCCCACTAGGCCATGATGCTCATTGGTTGACCTTGGGACAGTCATAGACTCTTAGCCTAGCTTATCTCAGAAGGTTATTGTTCTGAGGATGAAAAAGGAGTGGAGGAGAACTATGTAATCTCCTGGGGTCTTCACAAGCAGGAAAAAAAATCTAGGTGGGATATATACGCAACAACAATAACAGCAATAGCACCCATACAATCCTGAATCAACTAGTCAAGGTGGCATCAGCATGATTGTTGGAAAATACGCAGACATTGTGGCTTGTTGTGTGAAAAAGAAAGTAACACTGCTTGTGCGTGGTTCATTTGTCCTGGTGAATGGTGTTCTGCCTATCTTGAGGTGGTTGCTTTCCTCCCAAAGGATATGAATCCTACATGACAGGTATCCTTTGATCCACATTTCTAACTAGAGATACAAATAGCTCATGTGGCTTTTATTTGCTTAAACTAATATCCCACTGTGACACTACTTGCTTGATTGAGATTGCCTTGCTTT